AAATTTTTTTACAGAAAGTGACAAATATTACCTAAGACAGGAATGGCGAGAGTCCAATTGATAGTACAGTTACATTCATTTGATAATGTTGTACGATACGATAAACGATAACGACGTTACCATATCGGCAACCTAAAAGACCTTAAACCGTCAGCCTACCTTAAAAACATGAAAGAATAACAACTGTTGGGCTATTTGTACCTATAATATTTAAAGAATTATCCTCCAACTCCTAAGCGTTAAGGAGTTGTATCTACCATGACCAGTTCATCGTGATGAGATGATGGCTATCTAATGCAAACACTTGAATAACTTTAGAAACTATACTTATTTATAAAATTAAAAGAATTATCCTCCAACTCCTAAGCATTAAGGAGTTTTACTTTCTATCATCAGCTGAATAACTTAAGAAAATGTTTGAAAAACGATATAAGTGCCTATAAAATTTGAGGGTTGCAGTCGATTTCCCTAGGATCCCATCATCAGATCCTGACTTGGTGACAATGGGACCACCTCAGAAGTGTACCCTATCGAACAAAAAAAGAATTTTGAAAATCGGTCCACAATTGACGGAGTAATCGGTGAACATACATAGAAAAAAAAAACATACATACAGTCGAACATATCGCACCCTTAATAATACAGGGTGTTGATTTCAATACTCGCCATATTTATTTAGGTGATCTATTATGACTTACATAAACGCATTATCCACCAAAAAATAAATTACAAACGAAAGTGGAATTTTTAGCGAATATTTTCCGTGCAACATCAACTGTACTATGGCTCGCAATAATGCAATACGTTTACATTGTGGCACGCACGGGCACCCATCGAGCTACGCGGATCGCTCGCTTATCATGTTGGATAGTCTACTGAAGGATACGTAAAGAAGGTAGTGTAAATTACACAAAATTACCAGATTATTCACTTCCTACATTAAAAAGGAATGTTTTTTAAGTTGAGAGCTAGGTACTTACCGATGCGACTTCNTGTGCGCGCCGCATACGTATTGGCGCGCTCACAGTCATACAAACCGCGCTCGGGCGTTTCTATGAAGATGACCTACTCATTTGTATTTACTTACGGTCATTATTATTGGTGTATTTTGGCCTAAAAGTACCTACATAATTAATCCAACCGGAATGAAATGAACACAATTTAGTTAACTGACATATTATTATTATTAAGTTATTAAGTTCAAACAGAGGACTGACGTAACATAGCGGGAGAGTATAATTTCCAGTACATCAGACTAAACAATTTTGTTGCAAAATATGAAAATACCTACTAACTACACTCGCGAGCAAATCTATGGAATCACTTACATGAAGTTGTTTCCACGCGAACTTGTGTACTAACGATTTTGTTAGTAACAAAAAAGTGGCACCATTTTAAAGATTAAACTTTTATCTTTAAATTGATACCAAATTCATTTAAATCACACCAGTATTTAAAAAGATATCCCGGCTGATGTGAAGAAGTAACGAAAAAGACATGTATGAACTGTTTGATACGTCGCGAGTTGCGGCCTGTTTACCCCCTATATAAGCACGCGTTTTTAGATTTTTGGTTTCACACGTTGATTCATACACATCTCCGCTTCTTTTGACACTACCTGGGATTCTACACCTTCAGAAGCAGCACAAATCGTTGCATTATTGCAAGAAAGGCTCAGCCAGCGGGCTGTCGCACGTCAGCGCCACATAAGCCAGTCCTGGGTTTCGAAAGTTTCAAGACGCTTTCAGGAGACTAGTGGCTTTATCCCGAGACCAAGTTCTGAACAGCTCCGGTGCACATCGCAGAGGGAAAACCGTTTTTTCATGTCAACCTCTCTATGAAATCGTCATTTGACTGGAATCGATGTCCAGCAAGAGCTCAGAAATGTTCGTAGGATAGCTGTTAGCGAGTAGACAGTTTGTCTAAGACATAAGCAATAGAATTTAACTCCAAAAAGGCCTGCCACAGGCTCGAAACTGACGGCAGGTCACCGATAAGCACGCTTTCAATTTGCTCGTACACATCTCGATGGGAAGGCGAGTAATGGAGGCGAGTTCTGTTCTCCGATGAATGCAAACTGCGTTTGCAGGGCAGCAGTCGAAGAGGTCGGGTTTATAGGCGGCCTGAGGAGCGATTTGTGCAATGCTGGTTCGCTGAAACAGTGGCTTATGGGGGTGGCTTGCTCGACTTAACATCGAGATGTGTACGAGCAAATTGAAAGCGTGCTTATCGGTGACCTGCCGTCAGTTTCGAGCCTGTGGCAGGCCTTTTTGGAGTTAAATTCTATTGCTTATGTCTTAGACAAACTGTCTACTTGCTAACAGCTATCCTACGAACATTTCTGAGCTCTTGCTGGACGTCGATTCCAGTCAAATGGCGATTTTATAGAGAGGTTGACATGAAAAAACGATCTTCCCTCTGCGATGTGCGCCGGCGCTGTTCAGAACTTGGTCTCGGGATAAAGCCACCAGTCTCCTGAAAGCGTCTTAAAAGTTTCGAAACCCAGGACTGGCTTATGTGGCGCTGACGTGCGACAGCCCGCTGGCTGAGCCCTTCTTGCAATAGTGCAACGATTTGTGCTGCTTCTGAAGGTGTAGAATCCCAGGTAAAGTGTCAAAAGAACCGGAGATGTGTATGAATCAACGTGTGAAAGAAAAAATCCGAAAACGCGTGCTTTTATAGGGGGTAAATAGGCCGCAATTTTTTGTGTATTTTATGTATTTTTTTAGTATCGCCTGTTATTTAGCATTATTGCTGTTTTTATTTTATCAGGATATACCGCTTAGTTTAAAAGTTATTACGTTTTCTTTACAATAAGTAATTGGGAGAAAAAAAATTCTATAAAAAATTTACAAAAAATGTCAAAAAATTTTTGACCTCTTTTTTGTCGATAAAAATAGGTCTAGTTTCATCTATTTTCATATGTACACTTTAACGTGACTCACACTGTATACCGATCCTCATTTTTGCTTCAAATGTTAAAATGACGCTTTGCCATAAGATTAATTAGTCAATGCAATTAGTATTGCTTATTATTAAGTATTGTTCATATGTACCTACATGCCGATCCTAACTTTACTGTGATGATATTTTGTTTGTACCGACTACTAGCTCCGTAATAGAGAGGTTGTCTGCTTTAATTGTGTAATTTAGTCATAGGTTTGTTGGCAATAAACACGAGATAAAGCCCTATAGAATTGGTTTTGGTCATTTCTCTCTGTAGGTTAGGTTCCCCTCCTCCTACAAATAGGGCGACCCAACGCGGCGCCCTCTACAAACTGGCGCCCAACGTGAGGCCCTCTTATAAATTGGGCGTCCCAACGTGTGGGGCCCTCTAATAAACTGGGTCCCATCGAGGCACGAACCTAAACTTAACACTTGAGACCAAAACCGCACAGACAACCTTCTCTCTTAGTCTCGCGAGTTAGGTATTAGTCGAGATAGGGTTAGGCTAATTAAGATAGTCTAGACTCGCAACACGAGTACCTACTTTGGCAGATTCGTCATTCGTGGTAGGTACTACCACAGGCCGCCAAAGATACGACGTTGAGAATACCAACGAACCTGCTGCTTTTTGGAAGATCCTTCTATTGTCTACGAGTTAGAGGAGGAGTCCATCCAAGACATATTTGTAAAGCTGAAGGAGGAATTTACCCTTCTGCGAAATGTTTCCCCTATGGTAACCACACCTGGATTTCCAAAGTCACCTCAACCTTCCATGATGAGTTCGGAAGTTGCAAGCGGACTTACAATGGTACCAGTGTTAGGGATGAAGGTTAACACCAGAGAAAAACTCAAATTCTGATACATGTAGCCATGTCATCAGCCCTGTTTGGATACAGGGGGAGGGAAGAAGCTCTTCGGTCACATCAGCCCTGTTTGAATACAGGGGGAGGGAGGAAATTATTCCTTGCGGGAGAAATTTGAGAACGCCCGAGGGTTTTCGTAGCAACTGTACTCAGGGGCTCAGCACCAAGGCCCTATATTATGATGTTTCGAAGTCATGGACTAGCTCTTTGAAATTGCAGACACCAATGTTCCTGACCAGTCTCTGGGCCTGTACCACTCATCAGCGCCCCGTCTGAGATAGCGCCCCGCCTGCTCCAGAGCGCTGAGACAGCGCCCCACCTGCTCCAGAGCGCTGAGACGGCGCCTGTGCCCAGTTCAGCCGCGCCTCTCCGCGAGCGTGGTCAGCCAGCCTATGGTGGTGCCTCCCGAGCTACCTCCACAGTACCATGCGTGAGCGTGGTCAACCAGAGGCCGTGCCATGCGTGAGCGTGGTCGGCTGAAGAAGATGACCTCCCCTACCTCCGCAGTACTATGCGTGAGCGTGGTCAACCAGAGGCCGGGCCATGCGTGAGCGTGGTCGGCTGAAGAAGATGACCTCCCCTACCTCCGCAGTACTATGCGTGAGCGTGGTCAACCAGAGGCCGGGCCATGCGTGAGCGTGGTCGGCTGAAGAAGATGACTTCCCGAGCCACTTCAGCCGGGCCATGCGTGAGCGTGGTCGGCTGAAGAAGATGACCTCCCGAGACACCTCCGCCTTGCCATGCGTGAGCGTGGTCGGCTGAAGAAGACGACCTCCCGAGCTACCTCCGCAGTGCCATGCGTGAGCGTGGTCGGCCGAAGAAGATGACCTCCCGAGCCACCTCCGCCTTGCCATGCGTGAGCGTGGTCATACGAAGAAGATGACCTCACAAGCCACCTCCGCAGTGCCATGCGTGAGCGTGGTCAACCAGAAAAGGTGGTGCCTCAAGCCACCTCCGCTGCGCCATACGTGAGCATGGTCAGCCGAAGATGACTTCCCAAGCCACATCGTGTGATGGCACGCCGTCATCCACACCAGTCCTGGCTTCCTCGTCGGGACGACTTCGGAGCCAGAGGGGGAGTCTGTAACACGGCGCGCCCTTTTATTTACTTCGAGCGACCAGCGCCGAGCCGGCCACTACGTCACAGCGAGATCTACGCGCGCGCGCAGCCGGTTTACCCTGCCCCGAGACCCCGCACGCCGCCGCGTGCGTCACACGCGCTCACCGGCTGGCTATAAAAGGCGTGCGAGCCGGCCTAGAAGTCAGTTCGTCCGCGACGCTCCGCGCTTCCGTACCACGGAACACGATGCGCCCGCCGGATTGAACTCGCACACACCGCGATGGTAAGGTCTGCTTCCGTAACACGGAACTGACTGGACATCGCGTTGTATCGTCCCATGCACGCTTACCGTGCCTACTAGATAGTTAATAGAAATAGTAACTGTTGTCTTGTAGTAGCTAAGTTAATTACGCTAATTAGAATTTGCTCATTGTTTACATTCATGCTTAGCTCAAATGCATAATCCAATCCTGGTTTTATGACTTAGATAATTATTCACGCTTCTTGCTATAAATTTATTAAGTGAATGCTATTGTACTAAATATGGCCCTAATGCATACGCCGATCCTACTTTTATGCTTTGCACATGCTTTTGTTATGAACTTTATTAATTAGACGCAATTGTTTAGTTTTCAATTAAGTTTAGATCATATGCATAAACCGATCCTTGTTTTGTGTTCTAATTGAATTACTCACGCTTTTGTAATAAAGTTTATCAAGTAAATACAATTGTATAGTTTACTATTGGATCCGGCTCCAATGCATATACCGATCCTCATTTTTGCTTCAAGCTCTGCCATAAGATTTATTAGTGTACGCAATTAGTATTGCTTTGTTCATATGTACATGCCGATCCTAACTTTACTTATTTTCATATTAGCTTAGTAACTTGAGAGGTTGTCTGCTTTAATTGTGTAATTTAGTCATAGGTTTATTGGCAATAAACACGAGATAAAGCCCTATAAAATTGGTTTTGGTCATTTCTCTCTGTAGGTTAGGTTCCCCTCTTACAATTATTTTTATTTAAAAAAATAAAACCGACTCCAAAAAACCTACACTAAAAAGTAAAAAAATAATTACTAATTACTTATATTAGGACAAATTAATATTTATGTATACCATGATTGATACTTTTGGAGTCGGTGCAGGCAAACTTTACACGTTTCATAATCTTGGCACCGACTCCAGAAGAATCAATCATGGTATATATATTAATTTGTCCTAATATAAGTAATTAGTAATTATTTTTTTACTTTTTAGTGTAGGTTTTTTGGAGTCGGTTTTATTTTTTCTTTAATATATTTTTAATAGGTACAGGAGCGATGCACAAAAGTTTGCGCTGTATTTATTTGCCTGTAAAAAAGTTCTTTTGGCGTAGGTTATCGCTCGGCGCGATGTCACAAAATAAATAGTAACAGAAGACAATCACCTGTATGCACCAGGGATGTTATGGATATCCGTAACCGTAACCGAAACTATCGGAAATAAAAAAATATCCGTAATCGTAACCGAAACTGATTCAAAAGTTTCGGATAATTTCGGATAAAGGCGGAGTCTAAATCTTAATATTTTTAATATTTGTTACTTATCTGGCATCCCCTGGCACCATTCTGATATACCTGCTATTTGAATTTTACCTTTTTAAATAATATCCGTAACCGAAATTATCAGAAACTTTCGGATAATCCGAAATGATTTACTATACGTATCATAACCGAAACCGGTATAATATTATTCTATTATCCGTAACCGTATCCATAACCGAAACTTCATATCCATAACATCCCTGGATGCACTTCATATGACTCCATTTTGCATACGCACACAGACACGTCTCAAGTAGGCGGTAATCGCACTCGCGCTGGTTTAGACTGGTTTGCGATTATTGGTTATATTATGTGCGTTACCCGAGCGCACTTTGTATGTAGATTATCTTCTGCTATATTTATTGTGGCGATGTGGTGTACGTTCACCATAACATTTCCTACGTCAAATCAAACGCATTCCGAGCGGGTGGACTTGCCTTTGTCTTTTATCGTCTTTTCAAGCCTTTCGTCTAATTAAAGCCTCTGAGACACGGTGACTGGTTCCAAATTAACGATTCGCCTTCTTTGTGGCCACACCAAATCTTTTCAACCCTATTTTAATGAAATCTCTGACAAAAGGTCTACACGCGATTTGAATCATAATTTAAAAGGAAGAAAATTACTGCTAGGTATGTTTTAAGTAATTTACGCCCGTATTCACAGACATTAGTAGTCTCACAGAGCTCTATTCAACGCTGTGCGTTCGAATTGCTGCTTCACTTAAACAAGCATCGTTTATGAATATGGGCGATATTCTCAGTACTACGAGTACTAACAAGGGCAATAATAAGTGCTATAGTGTAATAAGGGCTATCGTTTTAGATAGTATTTAAATATTTTAAGGCAAAAATCATGGGTATACTGTTTAAAAAAGCTTTTTACTTCTTCGCTTTTGCTATCTTAGTAAACAAATAGTGGAGTATTCTCGGAGTTTAGTACCAGGGCTTCACAGGGCATATACACCTTTGGGAATAGCGGTGTTAAACAATAACTGCTCCCTTGAGATCCATTTGCTTATCTGCGGTGCCTTTGAGTTAGTAACTTGATATCTACGAAAATTCTGTAAACTTTGAACCTGTAGGTAGCTTTAAATTAATATTACTTAAGGAATAATGAACAAGTAACTACAGCTATGTCTCTTACTTATGTTACTTACTCAACTGGAAATATCATAGAAAAATTATCAAATTTTGTAATTCAAAGTTTGAAAAGTCAAACATACCTAATTGACCGTTCTGCATAGTCAAAGTTTCGCTTTAATTAATTTTTAACTTTCGCGTTGCTTAATTGAATTAATTTAAAACCTATCCGCGTATCGCGTTAAAACCTGTTTAAATTAATTCAAAGTTTCGCTTTGTTTAATTAGTAGGTATTTGTTCACTTTAAGTACGAGTATCGTTAGTTTTTAGCTTAGTTTTCAGAAATAGAAAGAGGAGATACCTTAAAGAATGAAGTAAGAAATTAACTATAGTACTAACACAGGTCCTAACTAAAAATCTAAAACTTAAAGCCTACCTATTATAACCAAAAGTTTTCCAGCCAAGTCTCTATTATTTTTCCGTTCTCACGAGTGCTTCAGTCAAAGGAAGTGCCAGCAAGCTCAGCCACTAGTAGTGCCCACTTCGAACGTAATAAGGGGAAAGTTTAGTCGACGTATTTTACAAACTTCGATTTAACATACGATTGTGAGGTTTATTTACTTATAGTTACGTATACGTTGTCATACAATGGGTGATTCCATAATTTGGTTCGAATAGTCTTTTTCCACTGATTTTTTTATGCATTACAAGGCACTAGGCAGACTGCAATTGACCGCAATCGCACCTGGTGTTAAGTGAGTGAGATGCAGTCTAAGATGGTACATAATTCTGCCCTGTAAGTGCCTATTCACTCTCTTTTTTTTATCCACAACGAGGAAGCTCTTGGCATTATTATTGACACTAGATTAACCTTATCATGTTCCTAACACATTTATATGGATTTATATGTTTAAAATAAATGTACCTATTAGTGTTCTCTTCTTCAATTCATAAGGGTATACAAAAAAGTAAAGTCTGCTTGTCTGTACAAGCACAGGCATGTCACAACTGTTCCAATAAAGCGCTATCCGTTCCCGAGCTTATCGCGGGAACTTCCGAGAGCTTTGTTGTTGAGCTTTATGCCGTGCTATTTATTGTTGGACAGCTTTTTCTATTTAAACAAATGACTAAAAGTAACTCTAAAAGCTATTCAGGATGATAAATGCGTGAAATATTTGTTGATAATGTGGTTATATATTTTTTTCATTTATTTGTCAAACAAAACAGATAATTAATTTGTTTTTGACAGCATTAAGGAAACCACTAAAGTTTGTGTTGATGCTGTTGCAGTTAAATTACAATTAATTTACAATTTGCATAATTTTAAAGACAGAAACACAATAAAATGGATAACTTCAAATATCGTAGCCAAATTCCGCCCGTAAATAATATTTGCCCCTAGACAAAGTTACAAACTGACAGTTGAAACCGAAATTGCTTCACTCCGACGTTTTTCATTCTTATTACTTCGTTCCGAGAAGCGATTTTGAAATTAAAGCTGTAATTTTTCACAGGCTTGAATCAATTCTTGAATATCCATCATCTTCATCATTTCATCCGGAGGACGTCCACTGCTGAACATATGCATCCCCCAATGATTTCCAGATTGGCCAGTTGGTAGCGACGAAATTGTGATCTCCGTCAGTTTATAAATAACGCGTGAGATTGTAAACTAACTTAGGTTATGTTCACAGATCATAGAAACTAAAGGGAGACGTGATAAGGGGGCGGCGCCGGTCTAGCAGCAATATGCCCAAAACAGAACACATTGCTGCAAACGTCATAATTACAAAAACAGTTTACATTGCTTGCGTTAGTAATAAAGATTATTCGGACGTTGAGTACTGATACCGCAGTGGATAATGAGCACATATTTTGGTAACTTCGTGTGTGTCAATTTCTAATACGACATTGAATTTCGAACTCAGCGCATTAGTTGGCATCTCTCTACATCTCTATGGTTATGTTAGATTGTATTCTACCTAACTATCTACATTCGATTAACTTCGTCAGATTATAATCTTTCGTTAACTTCGTCAGATTATAATCTTTCGTTAACTTCGTCAGATTATATCAGCTGACGGAATCCACAATTTTGCAGTGACATATTCATTCAATAATAGAGCGTAATTTCAATGCAGGCCAAAAACCTATGTAGTCAATTTAACCTGTTACACGCCACACATAATGTGCGAGTGATAAATGCTACCTGCAAATGTAGCGGGTAATGCGAGATCTAAAATTAGATCTGGGGTAATGGAAGGTCATTAAGCCGTACCGGGACTCTACCTCGGTACAATCTAGTCGGGTTTGAATGGACAAAGTAACGTTTATTGTTAGTGAGGTAGTTAATAGAAGCCTCAGGTATCTGTCTACGTAGGTACGAAGTCTTTGTCCGTTTCAACTAAAGGTATCGATTAAGTTACTTGCTAAGGCCCTAGGCAACGTAACAGAATTTTTCAAATTCAAATATGTATTTTGTTACTTGAACACATATTTTCTATAAAAAAATAAATGTTTTTATTTCTGGTGCAGTTTAAAATAATATCCATAAGCTTATAGACTTGTTAGTAGAAGTCCACAAGAGGCCAATGTACGAGATACCTCATGGACAGTGGATGTGTTATGATATGTTGAAAGATCACTATGTCAGTCAGTCAGTCACCTTTGAGTTATATTATATTTAGATGTAGATAGATAACTAGTTAGGTATTCCTTTTTTACGACTACCAGCTGCAGACTTATTTCACTTCATAGTAGGTAAGTACTACATTATTTTCGTACTTGGGAAAAAATAGGAGATAGGTACTTGTTGGTGGTTGTAAACGGGTTAAATGTCTGTTCATTGAACCGATATTAAAAAATATTAGATTCTCTGAGCTTGAAGCTCGGGAATATAGATTTTCACAAAGTTTGAGGGTTTGGAAGTTTGCCAAATATGTCAGCTTAGCAAGCATATAGCCTGATTATTATTTTATTAACTATCTTATCGTATCGGACGTTTAGTAAGGGGCAAGGTCAGAACTGGATGCAGGCCGCTAGCCGCTACCAACCGGGCGATGTGGAAATCATTGGGAGTGCCTATGCTTAGCAGTGGACGTCCTGTGGCTGAAATGATGATGATGATGATGAAGGACAGAATCAAAACTAAACCATTGTTGGCACGCGTTTTGCAAAAAAGCAAAACTTATTATAAAATCTTATGAATTTATTATTGGCCTCCGAAATATGTTTGAATGTGACTTGCCTAGAACATCTAGAATTTAGTTGGTAATTCAAATGATAACAAATACTAGGTAATTAAAGTTTAGGTTACCATTGTGAAATAAATAATGCATATTCTC